AAAAAAAAATACAACCAAATAACCCAATCAATAAATGGGCTAAGGAACTGAACAGACACTTCACAGAAGAAGAAATACAATTGATCAACAAATACATGAAAGAGTGTCCAACATCTCTAGGAATTAGAAAAATGCAACTCAAAACTACTCTAAGATTTCATCTCACTCCTGTTAGAATGCCAGTCATGAAGAATACAGGCAACAATAAATGTTGACGAGGATGTGGTGAAAACATTACACTCATACATTGCTGGTAGGAGTGCAAATTGGTGCAACCAGTATGAAAGCAGTATGAAGATTCCTCAGAAAACTGGGAATTTGACCCAGCTATCCCACTCCTTGGTTTATACCCAAAGGACTTAAAATAAGCATACTACAGTAATGCAGCCACTTCAATATTTATATAGCAGCTCAATTCACAATAGCTAAATTATGGAACCAACCTAGGTGTCCTTCAATAGATGAATGGATAAAGAAAATGTGGTATATATATACTCAATGGAATATTACTCAGCTTTAAAGAAGAGTGAAATTATGGCATTTGCCAGTAAACGGATGGAGTTGGAGAATATCATGCTCAACGAAATAAGCCAATCTCACAAAACCAAAGGCCGAATGTTTTCTCTAATATGTGGATGCTAATTCACAATAAGGTGGGGGGCACTAGGTAAGAACAGAGTTACCTTAGATTAGGTAGAGGGAAGTGAAGGGAGGGGAGGAGATGTGGGGATAGGAAAGATAGTAGAATGGAACAGACATTATTACTGTGTGTATCTATGTGTCTGCATGACCAATGTGATTCTGCAACAAGCACCCTCAGAAAAATGAGAAGTTATATCCCATCTATATATGATATATCAAAGTGCATAAGTGCATTCTACTGTCATGTATAACTAATTAAAACAAATTTTAAAAAATTTTTTAAAAAGGAGGATTAGGAGAAGGAGGATCAGGAAGGAAATTGTATCTCATTCACAGTTCAGTTCTGCCTGGTTGGCTTCTGGCCTTAGGAATTTCCACATCCATTTGCCCATCAGCCTGCCACTTTGAATATTTTGGATCTCTCCTGTCCAATGGAAGAAACAGGTTATATGAAAATGTCTACAACTTTATTTTTAAATTTTAGAATACACTTTTTGAGATATTTGTGTCTTTGATTGACTGTCTCTTGGTGTTGCCAAGGTGTCAGAAACTCATAAGACCATATTTAAATGATGGTTTTAAAAGCTTTTGTAGACCACTTTGACTGCACTAAATTTTCAGTTACAGAATTTGGTTTAAAGAATAAGTTAAAATTCTTTGATGAAATGTTAAAAGAAGAAAAAGAAGAGGAGGAGGAGGAGGAG